AAAAAAAAAAAAAAAAAAAAAAATTCGAGAGATATAGCCTTACCTCAGTTTTACAGCCAGTGGTACAGTACTGTTTACATTTTGCAGATATGGACGTGATGAGGCCCTTAATAAACGAGCAGAATTTCGATGGGACGTCGGACGAGGAGCAGGAACAGACGCTCCTGCCTGTGCAGAAGCACTACCAGCTGGATGGGCAGCATGGGATTTCGTGAGTGTCAGGGTCGTGGGTCCTGGGCTCGGTCTGACTCTGTGTGTGTTTCTTAGTCTCCCCCAGGTCTGAGTGTTTACAGAATGCTACAGATGATACAGAGATGATTCGGAAGACTAAGGAGTCAGATAGACTCCTAGATGCTTGTAGTCTGGGAGAGAAGGATATTATGATATTGAACAGCATGGGGATTTCTTCAGTGCTGATGGATGTCAAGCCCTGTGTCCCCCAAAGAATGATGTCTGAGAAGACAGAAGTGTTTAGTGTTAGGAGAATGGCTTCTCAGAGGGACGGTGCTCGTGCAGAATGAGAAGACAAGCTACTGGTAGAATGGGTTATAAAAACATGTTTTGGTGTCTTGTGATCATTGAGTTCTTACTTCAATAGTGATTTAGTGATTAAGCACAGACACCTGAAATTTGATTGAGTATAAACTAAAAACACCGAATAACTCTAGGTAGTTGTTTTTGTTTCATGAGTTTGAAGTTTGGGTTTCTCTTAATTTCAGTTTGTTTCTTCTTGGTCAAGGAGACGACCTCCAGTCACTCCTAGAAACTTCCAAGTCCTGAGGGAGCTCATGATAGCAAATTATTATTTCACCTAAGGGTAGTGTTAAAACTTGTATAAACATTTTTTCTTTTATAACTTCCTTAAATGTTTAGAGCCGTACTTATCTAGACAGTGCCAACAAGTCCTTCTGTTTTACCAGCCAGATCCTCAATGTTCTTGACACCATAGCAGCAAAGTATCTTATGAGAAAACTGCAGTTTTAATTGACTATTCTATATGCCCCTTATTTCATTTAATTTCCACAGTAATTCTCTGTATTGCCTTTTATGAGGGAAGATGGGATTTGATCCTAGGGTGACTTCTTGCCTGCCGGTGGGATGGGAACCATTACTTGTTTGTTGCTTAGGTCCTAGGTGGAATGCTTAAATCTTACGATTTTCACTTTCCAGATTCATGCAGACTCTGATGCATCTGCTTAAGGGGAACATCGGGACTGGCCTTTTGGGGCTCCCCTTGGCAATCAAGAATGCTGGCATTGTGGTAAGGCTGTCCGTGTGCCCTCCACTCTAGATACAGTCTGTGAAAATGATCAAAAGCCACCATCTTGCCTCATCCAGTATGGGTTACATGTAGCTGGCCATTGGCTGTTGTCCTGATACAATTATGTGAACTCTAATAATCATGGTGCCTAACCCAGAGTGAGAATTACTGTTTTCATTTATATGTGATTGCTTATTTTTAATATTTAATAACAATAAAGTCTCAAACCTAACCCAGTTCTTAATTTCTGAAGATGGGTAAGTCTCATTTTGGGGGGTTGTTGAGGCTTAAGCAGTGTACCCACAGCAACTAATGTATTAAGGGAATGGATTTTTTTGTGTGTAATCTCATTAGTGTTTTAGAGTCATTATAATGTGTATGCAGCATTCATAACTAAGAAGAATAGTTGAAATGAGTAACAGCGTCTTTTAAACACAAATATCAAAGCAGTGTTAAAGACAGTTGCTGTAACTGCTGCATTTGAGGGCCGTGGTGAGGTGGGTTCCTGGATGAAGTAAACTACACAGAACTGTTTTTAAATGGGTTGATTTCCATGGAGGGTATAGCTATCCCATTTTTCTGTCCTGTGTGTAAAGTAACTAGATTTTTGATTGTTCAGGTAAGCTTTGCCCGGTTCTGCTACCCACCATAATCCAGGCTTCCCTTTGGATCTGCTACCACCATAATCCAGGCATCC